AATACTTCTATTATGCAACCATAATTGGTTTAGGTCGATGACTCAGTGATTGAAGAAACGGTAACATATAGGTAACTATGTTTTTTTTTCAAATTCTTTGTCACTGCGATGTGCGAAATTTTATATGTGGTACTAACAAAAAAGGTATAAAACCTTTTTTGATTAGCATAAATGAAAATTTAAATTTGGAATTAAATATTTTCTTAATCAGATAAAAAGTATGCTTACCAGCCCTGAACAGTCCAAAGAATACTGAATGTCATTGACTACGAACAAGAGATAAGTGGTCACGGGATTTCCAGCACACGTAAGGATTTGCCCGATTGTGTCTGCCCTTTAATATTGTGACATAGACACGTAGTTAGAAGCTGGCGGACAACCTTTACTACGAGACATTTCGTCCCTCGCAGAAATTAGTCTATACAATCTATCACTAATGACAACCTATTAATATTATGTTGTCACCGTGATCTAACCATAGCCTCATTTACATTATATTTAGCAGTAACAATAGGTACGGCAAAAAACTGAATCCACATACAAATATATTTAATAATATATGTATAGTTTTTAAGTTATAAATCCATGAAATCATTCATAATCATACTACAGTACTGCAATTAAAACCACAATTTAGGAGTAAAATTTTGAATTAAGAGGAAAGGTAATATACCTATATATATACAAAAGCTAAACACTCACTTTATTTATGACTAGCTACTCTACTGCGACTTCGGTCACGTTAATATAGCCTATGTCCCCTGATGTAGCGTGCTGAAGGTGAAAGAAGTTTTAAAATCGATCCAGTAGTTTTGGAGTCTATTCGATGCAAAAAACAAACAACCAATTTGTATACTGATTTCGATGCTTCTTTTGTAATGTGTTTAAATAGCGCAATAAAGATTATTATTATTAATATTAGTAAAGATATATCTATAAGTCTCGGGTCACCACAACAAAATGAGTATTAATTATCGTAAACCGATTCTTATATCAAACGGTGGATGGAAATGATATACTGACATTTATATAGGTATACATCATTGCCCCAATAGTGGAAAATAATACTCGTGGCTAACGGCAAGTCCGTATTAATCGATAGTATTTCACTTTTCCGTTCAATAAAGTTAATTGCATAAACCACATGTCTGATGTCGGCTAAAAAAGGTGTGCGATACTTTAAATTAAATATGAAGCATAACATTTTATTTTTACTATATATAGTTAGGCAAAACGCATGATTCACAAATAATAAAGATTAAAATTAGACACAAAATTATGGACGTACATGCAGAAGTGATATTGGAGATCACATCATATCATCAGTGTATTAATGTACAAACTCCACACAGGCATAAATATGGAATTGATTCATCTAATTGTAAGGAGAATGGGCAATGTTCTACCACGCGGGCTTAGTAAACATTGGTGAGTATTAACGACTGCAGATGCAGCCAATACCAACGACTTCGCGTACCTTCTGAAGTACGGAAGAGTTCGAGATGATGAATTTTTGGTCACCCGTAATTTGAACGGCCTTTGCAAAAGTCAAACCATCAATACTTTCAGAAAACTCTTGAAATTTCAGTGCCAGAGATGGGATCAATATTACTACAGCGTTGCAAATGTAGATATTATCAAATACAATAATGTTCAAAAGAAACTTAACCAAGTTTAAAGTTTAATTTATAATATGCCGGGTCTGTGTTGCACATAATATGGCTGTTGTAGTCTCTTCCCCGTCTAGAGGCGATTCGGAAGGTTTTATTACATGGACAAAGCGCGTCGCAATAAAAACAGTGTAAGGTAATTGAACGCCCTTACTCCCGGTCCCTAATTGCACGCCCGGAGACGATTCCCACGCGCACCCTCAGATCAACAACATGGACATTGTAGTTATGTAATGATAATCAAAATTCTAGAAATTACATCCACGAATTGTCTACAAATATTACTTAGCTCCACACAGAAGAATTAGGTATCTTGCGCATGAATTCCTCAGGGCGTCTTTTTGGGTTTCGGTAATTTTACAAGACCTTGGAAATGTTTTTGTTTATCAGATTTCTTATTTGCATTTTACAAAGATTGCAGGTATCTTGATTTCTTAAAATATCCGTTTGAAAATGAACTATTTTAAAAATAACATTAAAAATCACTTGAAATATTTTCGAATATCATTTAATTTACTGTTTATTATCATTAATATTTTTGACATCTTGAAGATCTGTGAATATGAGCGAATTTCCTGTCTCATATGGTCACGTATTCAATAACATATTTGAACCTACAAATAAAATAGGTCACAGTTTATTTAAGACCGATAAATCACGATTTATTAAAATTCGAAAGTTGTATCAGGTCGCTCTACTTTTTATACTTTTAGGTGGCTTGCGATAAGAAACTATTTATTTCAATTTAAAAAAGCCAGACCAAAGTGAACCATATTGAGTGTAATATATTTCATCAATTTTAAAGTTTAATTATAAATTCCAATAATGGTGCTGTTGGCGTGAAATCCAAATTCTATACTCTGATCAAAGAGAACGTACTAGAGTCATTTAATCCGTGCAATCTCGATTATGAAGAAGAAGAATCATGTGAAACAGATTCGGTAATTGGTGCAGTATTGATAATACGCTGGTGGAGTAGAGGAACGGTGCGTGTGTCAATACCCTCTATATGAGATGTTTGGAATAAGTTTAGATCTTGCCACTGTTTACTTAGAATACAATTTGGGGTAACTGAAAATTTCCTATTTCATATAACTTTGTTCCTCAAAAATAATCAAATCAGACCAGTTCAAAAGCCACTGCATCATTTGCGTGGTGTATTTCTCCTATAATTTTCAAAGGTTGATAGTAATGGTGTATTTTAAAAATTGATATTACATTCTGTTTGTCGGTACAATTTCTTTAACTAAAAAACGTGAAACCATTTTTTGCGTAATGGAGATTGATTCTATTTATGTCGATGCAAGATTGTTCGGTAATGTTTTATTCAATTTGTCATCAATAATAAATTTATTGGGAGTCATTCTGTTGGTTCGTGAGGCGTAGAACGTTTCGGCTCCATGCACGGATGTTGCAACGGTTACAGTTACAAACGATCTTATCGTATGTTAATAGTTAATGGTTTAAACTCCGCCTGTCGAACGTATAAATCAAATGGGATATTTTGTTTATGACACACTGATGGTGCCTGGAGATAGTAACCAAATACCTGACGGCCCTTCGAATAAAAAATGTTGTAAGAAATCATGATAGACTTTTTATTGGAAAAAAAATCTAAGCTAATTAACACAAACTCTACATCTTTGTCAAATATTTGTTTTGGTACAGTAGTAATAATACTAATATTATAAAGATAATATCACAAAAAGGAAAGATTTGTTTGTTTGTTTACATAGAATAGATACCGAAACTACTGGATTGATTATAAAAAATTCTTTCTCCTACGGGAAGCTACGTCATACGAGTGTAACATAGACTATAAGTTTATCGAAGATCGCGGGAATACGGCCAGCCAGAAAAACGACCAATATCTTATAAACATAAGTTTAACATAATTGTAACTAGAAAAGCATCAATTCCTTCTCAATATATTTTTATAGATTCTGAATCGGAAGAGGAAGAAATTCAAATGGTTTTCAACGTAACACTTTATTTGAAGAGCAAATCCAATAAAAGAGCTAATAAAATGGGTTTTCTGTTTTTACTAGAATTTCTCAAAAGATTTGTTTTATAAAAATGATTTTGATGTCTCTATAGTACTATTGTGGTATTATACTCTATAGTAATGGTCTTCCTAAGCTATCAACAAAGATACTAATATTGTAAATAGGATCTTCCTTTTTGATAGGCTCTGGAAAAGCTACGCCAATTTTGAAAATTATTTCACCTAGTTTATAATATTAAAAAACAATCATCATACTTAACATAGGTAGGACTTAAGTTGTTTACCAAATAAATGTTGCCTTTTCGCTGACATAAATATGGAAAATAATAGCTGTTAGCCATGTAAGTATTTGTACGTAAGTCGCGGAAAATTTGCCGATTGTGTTATATGGAAGTTAATAAGGGCACTGGTTCCCAAATATATAGACGCTGACCAATTTCATTTTAGTATTGACGACAGGAACTCCAAGGCTCATGAAATTATTAGAGACCATTTAAATCTGAATATCAAAGAATTTGGCATAAAAATATAGGATAGAAAAGTGTGTATCAAAATAGTTTATAATTCAAAATATTTATCATTAAATTAATGATATATTATAACATTTTGTTTTGGAGATTTTTAATATTACCTAACAATTTTTATAACACATTAGCAGTAACTCAAAGATGACTCAACTATAATATAAAAAATAGTATTATCCATTTTTAACTCTTGCGAACTAAAGCTTTGAAACCGCTGACATAGAGAAAAGAAGCTTATCTATCATTTTACTTTTGAGGAACGTTGCTATAACTTATTTGCTGATAATTCTCGAATACTCTCAAACTCATTAATTAATTTAGTTGAATATTTTAGTTGAAAAATTTGTTAATTTAATTATAAAGGGATTGCTTTAGACAACTTTATAAAATGGAAATTTGAAATCCATTATGAAGATTACATGTCTTCCTACGTTTACGTTTCTCAAGAAAACTGTTTTAAAAAAGAACTCTGTTTTCAGAAATACCTAATATATTGCAACATTATTTTATTCTCGTTCTAGAGTTAATTAAGATTTATAGTAGGTATAGCTCTATATTTATGTTTAGTTTTTTATATTGATAACTATGATTGAATTCTTTTTATACATATGGCACATTTTATAATTTTCTTATTGAAACTTTTCCGATTCAATCCTAAATAATAATTTGGAATAATATTAATTAATTAAACAATTACAAACAGTTAAGTAATAAAATAAACACAGAGAAAATTTGCACCAAAACATTACTTTTCAACATCATAATTATCATAAAGCATTAATCTTAAACGAAAACCCTTACCAAAGCAATATTTACAACGGCGAACCATCGTAAAAGCTTGATGCTCATAGACATTGTCACGTTCACATAAATTTGCTACAATACGTGTACCGATACTAGCCGCGCGACCGCAAAGCAAGACGTTACCCGCCAAACTAAAGCAAGACCGTAAGCAGAAGCAAGCACCGTGAGAGCTTTGCGAATACGCTGAATGGCCCACTCCACGAGGGAGAGATGGGAGGGACGTACGTAGGGGAAACGACATCCTCCGGTAATTCACTAAGAAAAGTTATTTGCGGTGTTGCCTCGGGAATCGGACGCGATAGAAAAATTTTGACCAACATGTGTATCGACCACAAGCGCGCGTGAATAGTTTTGGAATATGGAAATCGTTTTTTTTTAATCTTGAAATTTTTAAGTACCGATATAACAGATTTACTACTCGTACGAATTAATATGACACCTGAAGATCCATACTATTTCTGCGAAAATGAAATTTCTTCTATTTACGAAATACTAAAACTACTCCAAACTCTGAATTTTTCGATAGTTTATGATGGAATGGAGGTAGAACGATTTGAAATTTTCCTAATTTTCATTCCAGGAAAAATAGGTCCTCCGGTATGTTAATTAATTAACTTACAAGTATCTATATCTGTATAGCATAACTCCTAGTCGAGTGTTGTCATCTTCAGATTAGAATCTTTGGACAGTTGGAATAACTATATTTTAATATTATAGGAATAATTGTTACAACACATAACAGAGACTAATAAATAAAGACAATTAAAAAAAACATAAAATAATTTTTCACAATAGGCGGCATTATCGCTTCACAGCGATACAATATTTTTTTGATTAAACTTTAGTTGTTTGCGAATATTAAAATACACTATGCGTCATGTTATGATAAGTGAATTTTGCCACCACGAACTTTATATTGAAAACAAAGCGCTCATGATGAAGTATTTTAAGAAAAAAAAAAGAAAGCACTAAAAAGCACCTCACTAGATAGCGACTCTACCAAAAGTTGATTTTTGCAGGAAACGAATGAACCAAAGATAGTCATTTCCGTTCCTTTAACTAACATATTAAAAAACTGAAACTTGCAAAGTTCGAAATATAAATATCAATACGAATACGAAAAAGTACAAATAGAATATGAGTTGTTTATTGAGTTTTGAAAATTAATTTTAGTTTTATACACGAAAAAAAAAACGGAAGGATTGTCATGAAGAAATCAAGAAAGTACAGTTTTTTTTAAATACTTACTCATTATTTTCCATTCATATTTTTATACTATTCAACAATAAATTTAAACAAAAAGTATTATATATAAGTTTTTTTATTTCATTATTGCCCGTCAGATCGAAAAATGGGGTTATTTAGCAATTTATTTAGTTATATAAATAATTTTTAAAAAACTCACGTTTTGAATGTAACAAAACCATTAGACAACGTACCGACGTTGTCGTTTTTCATTTTTAATAAACCTTTTTGGATGTTCTTTCTTCTTTAAGGTATATTTACATGATTTAATCTTAAGGTTTGTACAGTTGAACACCAATATTTAAAGTTAAAGCCTGTTGCGATTTTATGTTAATGGTACTAGATGGTTGGCACTATAAGGTGTAACAGATCTTGAGGATGCTCCGTGGAGAGGCTAAACACGTGTAGAATGATGATTTGTTACCATTCATCTTACCCACCATTTTATTGTATTTAAAAATTAAATCGCTTATTTAACAACAATTTCTAAGCGATTTTAATGACCTAAGAAAAACAATCAATATTGCACCCATAATAGTCATTTTATTAACTCTCTATACCTATAGGTAGATACCTATTATAATATCTGTGATCATTTTTTCAGGTCTATTGTGTTTTCTTGGTTGTGATTAAAAGGACATAGAATTTTGAAAAGATTAATTTACATCCTTACTTATAAGAAACTTACAACAGTTGTATTCTCTATAACGTTCGTTTCAATGTCAATTCGATTGAAGACAATACGTTGCTTTTTAACAAGATCGTAAAAGTTTAAAAGTATCGGTCATTTTGGCTCGTCTCTAAGCCATAAATGGTTAAAGGTGTCGTTCGGATTTTGGAAGTGGCGTAGTTCGATTTCCATGCGAGGCATCACCATCAACAACCACCTACTAAGTAGGTAATTAATAACTCAAGAAAATTTTTTTATATATATGAAGTAACGCCTATAATAAACAAAAGCAAATATACATATCACTTTGCTATTATATAGAATCAGGCGTTTCTGTACTTAGAGTAGTTGGAGTTAGGGTTGCCAGATGGTCGGGATTCGTCTGGATTGTCCAGACATTTCGTATGATGTCCAGAGTCCCGAAAAAAACAAATATGTCCCGACAAAATTGTTAGATTCTGTAAAATCGAATTCCAAGTATAAAAAAAATATCATAAAAATATGAAAAGTAGGTATATAAGCTGTTTAAATGTTATACTATTATTATGTGATCGTATAAAATGACAAAAAAGTAGATACTTGTTATTATTTCAAAATTTTATTAATAAAAAGTGGATTTCTTATTAGCATTTTTTTTTGTCCCGACTGTGATCCCAAAATCCCGACTTTTTCAAATTTTGTCCAGATATTTTAGTCTCGCTATCTGGCAACCCTAGTTGGAGTACAGGCAAAAACACATCAGGTCAAAACTGTCTAATTTTTCCATTTGGTTTTAAACTATAATGTTATTGTAGGTAGAACTATAATCAACTGTGGAAAGAATCATGTCTAATTATGACCTAAAAAAGTACTAATGCGTCTAGTGTAATGATTTATCACAAAATAAAGCTTATTATGTACTTATTATGTAGACCCCCACAAGGTGGACCGACGATCTGGTGAAGGTCGCGGGAAGCCGCTGGATGCGGGAGGCGCAGGACCGATCGCTTTGGAGATCTTTGGGGAGGCCTCTGCCCAGCAGTAGGCGTCTCTCGGATGATGATGTACTTATTTCATATCGTGAAATCAAATCTTAAAATAAAGTCAGGATAAGATTCTGGGTAAATGCATTGCTATGTTCAATAAAGTTCCACAAAATGTAGGTACCCATAAATCAATTTAAAATTCATGTAAAGAATATACTTATAGTAAAGGGTATTATTACTTGATGATTATTTTAAGCATCGCAATGCATGGTATTAATACCTTCGCTTTGTTCTATAAAGATTAATTATATGGAGGAATCTAAGTAAATTTGTACGATCTAATACTTTTTGGTAACGAACTATTATGGGCTAAAAATTTGCTTCAGGTATTATTATAATGCATAACATAATCTAAACCAAGTACAACACGAAAATTGATACTGTAAAAGCGCGGCAAATTGTATGTATTTGAAAGAACTGGAGATGTTTAAGTTTGCCGTTTTTTAGATTATAGTTGAGATAAGTAGTGACTTGATAATATGTCATAATTTAAATCCTTATATTATATTTAAAATAGAAGTTGGAATTGTTCATCGTTGGAATACTATATTATTAGCACATTTAATATATACTGACTATAGATACAAGTGTTATACTACACTGCGATTAAGTGCCTTGTACACATATTTAGTCTTCTAGTACAAAAACGTCAAGCATTAGCAAATAAATACGAACTGCAATGTATGCGGTTTAAATGCTGCCACATGAAAAATTATGCCACTATGCTAATGTTAACGAAGTAATGGCACTCCAATAATAGCATTTTCCTAGCGCACTATTCGACTAATGTCAAATATTTAGGTATCAATGCTATAGCGTGACAGCGATGTAGATTTTAACCACGCTGATTTTATTAGAATACAATGTGTCATTATGTTGTGTGCGAGCGGCATTTGTTGAGTACCTACCAATTGTTTTAAATATTGTGAGGATATGTCTTTATATTATTCTTGGCACAATTTTTGACAAAGTCAAGATTATTTACGACAGAAATATACCTTCAACATGTTGGCGGAGGTGTGGCTCTGAGAGTAAAGTTCAAGAACGAGTCTTAAAACAATACCTAACTAATTTTCATATTTAAATCTACGACGAATATGTTAAGGGAAAGGCTAGAAAAAACACACAAATTTCTAATCAACAACAGTTTTTTTTGTTAATAATTTGTACTTTAGTTAATTATCTTTGGAAAATGCTAGTAAAAACTTTAAAACTTAAACAACTTCTAAATAAATTTATAGTTACAACAAAAGCCTATTATCTGCCTATTATCCGTTTTGCCCGACCCCCCCCGGGTAGAATGGATACACCCCCAGGGCAAAAAGGATTAGTAAAGCAATTGGTATTTTAATCTTCGCAATCGTCACAGTAGTAACTGCCTACCCCTAAATAAGAAGTACAGTCCTCGTGTGCCCACCTCTTGCATTGGTTGCACTCTATCCAGTCTTCGGAAGGCGGTTCAATAAATACTTCTGAGCACACTAAACATAAACAACCTGTTTTTTTTCCGATTTTGATTGTTAGACTTCTTTGTTACTTTATGTTTTCTAGAACCGGCCAAATTGGTCATATTAGTCTTTTTGCATGTAGATTTGCCAGGACCTGCCAACTTAGATGTTTTTGTTTTTTTATGTGCAGTTTTGCTGGGGCCTTCTAACTCAGCTATTTTTGTCTTTTTATCATTAGCTTTATAAATTTTTTAGCTTGCTCATCTTTGACAGGAGTAGATGTCAGCACCTTTGATTTTTGCCTCTTGTTTTTGCGATTTGTTTTTGGAGCAGCCATGGTTGGTATGGGTCTGATTTGCAATGGTGTAAGGCTATGTTTCACTACTTTAAATGGATTGTTTTCAGCTTGTGAGCTAGCTGATTTTCTTTTCGGCAGGATATCACTTGCAGGGACAGGTGTAGCAGACCTCTCAGGTTCTATTTCGATAATAATTTCTGTTTTTTTGGAGCGTCACTTTTGTTGGAGCGTCAGTCGTTGTAGACAAGGCGTCACTCGAACGGAAATCATCCATTGTCAACGGGGCATTAGTTATTGTAGATGAGGCTGTAGTATTTGATGTTGCGACATTAACAGGGTGGTCAGTCACTGTTGTCAGAGCATCAGTAGTATAAGATGCGTCATTTATAGGTCGGTCAGTCATAACTGATGGAGCAAAATCTTCATCCCCAAATACATTTGGATTATAAGGCCAAATTCCCGGTTTATTAAATCCACTTGTTGCATTCTGGACTGAAGCACTTTTGACGTAAGCTCCACAAAACCGTTTTGCCATGTCATACTGATTCACGATTCTGCCTGGGTGACTTTTTTGAAACGTGTTCAGCTCTTGCTCAAAATACTTTTTGAACGGTCCATAAACAGCCACGTCTAGTGGTTGCAGTCGGTCTGTGGTGTGTGGTGCGAATGATAAAAATATGATGTTATTTTTTGACGCAAATTCTAAAGCTGGATAAAACTTGTGCGATTCATGGTTATCAGGCAAGAGTAGCACTTTTCTGTTCTCACTTGGGCGAACCTTTTCGGCAAAAAATTGCAACCAGCTTAAAAAGCCTCACCGTGGATCCAGCCGTTATCTGTGACGGTGGCTTGTGAGCCTGGTGGGGCACCATCTAATAGTCTTTCCTGCATTCGTTTGCGTGCGAATATAAAGAAAGGGGGTATGAATGTACCTGCTGCGTTACAGTAACATATGACAGTAGTTAACTGACCCCTTTCTACACTGCTTATGACGCCGACTTGTTTTTTTCCTTTAATAGACAGGACCTTCGGTGGTTTAGTTGTGCTGCTCTTTATGCCGGTCTCATCCATATTATAAATGGTAGTTGCATCAAGGTTGTATTTTTCTACCAGATCCCAATAATTTGGATAAAAAACTCAACTTGTGGTTTGTTGAAACCTCTTGTTCTTGCCAGAGATGTTGGCTCCGGTGATCTAAGTACAATTTCTGGGTGTCAACTCTTGAAACCAGAAAACCAGTCATCACCTGCTTTACCATTTTTGAATGAATGAGCGATATTATTTTTTGTTGCGTATTGATACACCAGTTTTAGGAAATCTGCACGAGTTAGGCCAAAAAACAGGCTGTCTAATTTTTTCAAGTACGTGCTTAGCTCTTTTTCTTGCTCCGGCGAAAAAACCGTTGTAAATCTACCCAGTTTCTTTGCCGTGTTTCCTGACTTTACATGTCGATGCAAAGTTGTAAATGGAATTCCGAATTCAGTAGCGGTAGATTTAATAGATTTCCCTGCTTCTTTTACCGCTTTTATTGTTTTCTCAAGTGATTGTTCTGACCATGCTCCTCGATCACTTTTGCGTTTGTATTTATATACCATCTACAACGAAATAATCCTGTATTTAATCTAATACTAATAATGAAACTAATTACTCACACACTACTATACCTATATGCTAATGGACTTAAATAAATGTGTTTAATTTCGAGAAAAAAATATTATCGAACTATCCGGGCAAAACGGATAGCTATCCGTTTTGCCTATATCCGTCTTGCCCAAAGCACTAATATTCAAACGTTGTATTAGCCTACTGTAAAATTTCTAACGACGAATGAAAAGTTACAAACACAAATTAAACTTCAAAACACACGCAATCGCTCAAACAGAGTCTGTTCGTTAACACTTAATACATAATACAAAAAATCAAAACACATACCTTGCCAAAAATCGTAACAAAACAGCAAATAACTTTTATTATTATTTTCACAACAAGTGCACGCATCTATTGTTTTGGTTGAACTGTCATGGCGCGGCTGAGTTGCTGTTTCACCGACGCGTGCTTCTCCAGTAGCGCCATCTATTGTAGGTTTCTAATAAAATCGAATATTCGTCTTACCCACACTATGTATCTTGCTCGGGTTTCCCCTACATACGCACTCAATATAGGTATGTATATGAATGAATAGTCATTAGGTTATTCAATCTTTTGGCTCACGAAATAGTGGAAGAAAGAGTGACATGGGTATAAAATCAAGATTAACTGTACTTTTAAAAGTTACCTATAAAGTTTCTTCACGTTTTTGCTGCATCTAATATCTATGTTCTTATTATGGGAGTTAAACTGCTTCTCGTAGGATGCAATTTTGGTCCAATTCATGTCTTTTTGTAAAGAAATCTCTTATGTGACGTAAACGTTGTTATTCTCAGTTATATTCGTGAAATATTATCTATACCTACTTATTTTGTTGATTTTATGGTAAACTAGCTGACCCGCCAAATTTCGTACGTATCGACGCTGGAAAGCAAACACGTAGTAACCCGCAAAACCAAAATTGTTATTCAGAGCAGAATAACTAAAATTATTTTCGATAAATAATCCCTATAAATGTCCATGGTAACAAATAAGGTGTTCCTTTGTCAATTTATACAGAAATAAGATATTTGTTTATTTGGAAAAATATAAAGATTTTCCACTCTAAATATCCATTTTGGTTATGCAGGTTACTACGTGTGTGCTTTCCAACGTCGTTATATTCTACAAACTTTGTCTTGACAATAAGGAACACATATAAATAAAATATCCAATTTGGTGCGAATACATTCGGTGACTCGTTTTTATATAGTATTTAGTTTCTTTTATATATATATATAAATATATATATATATATATATATATATACACAATTTACCTACTTTTTAACTATATTCTTCCAACTTTTTATGCTAAACCTGCCGTGTCCATCAAAAGTATTTAATTCGCAAACTATTACAATTATTACAAACTAACTTTCCGAGAGCGGCTTCGCTGTATAAAGTATACATAAGGAAGTTTTATAACTTTGATGATAATTGTATAAACATTTGTTTTGTAGTTTACAAGATCTCGCGACTTTATTATTTGCAATTTACCTACTTATAGATGTGCTATATAAAGACCGCGGTTGCAATGTTTTTTCTATATAAAAAGAGTATCAAAAGTGCCGAATTAAACCTGAGCGGAGTCTGTAGCAATCCCCCGAAACAGAAAATTCATCTATTGTTTTCCGAATAACATAACTAATCTGTGACTTGAGTTTTATTTGTGAGTTTATGTTCATACTTAAAAATATTTATTTATTAAGTCAGGACACAATACAGTTCATAACCAAATTGAGTTTAACAGAACAAATTTATTTTCCACGTTTGGCTATGGCAACAACCCTATAAATAAGTTATACCTACTATTTATTTAGAAGATTATTTTTTTGTATAAAACCAATTCAAAGTTAGTGATTTTTGGTGAAAATGCCGCCCTCTTCATATACGTTTTATATAATACCTCATGTTTTTCTTTTATCATGCTTTCTCACTTTGGTTATCAAATCAATTCAGTACAAGTGTTAAAAATATTACCTTCACTTTTTCAACCGAAATTTATCATAGGTAATCCTCTTTCATCGTATGCCCATATAATATATTTTTTAAATTGATTCAATTAACATTAATCGTCTGATTATAAAACAAGAACTAACTTTGGTGCCAGTAAGTAGAGCAGAGCAAGAAAATCCGAACCCGAATTCGAATTCACGTTATTTAGTGTAGAAATTATATTGATTTCATTTTTTGTATAGAAATACGAAATAAAATTGATTGATTATACATTTCACAGATATTCTATCACTATGTCATTTTGAAAATCACTACACTTATGCCACGTAACGTTAATACCAATTCAAGGTTAAGCGGATATCGTTTTCGAAGTAAATTCGGACAACTGAGTGAATTCGAATTCGGGTTTTTGCGGAGTCGCAAGGCAGGTTTAAAGTATTATTCGATCAGAATAACGCAACAAGTCTTAATTTGACGTTTCCTCTTCTATCGCTGTAAATTTGCAGACAATGTTTTAATTAAACGAAGTACCTACCTATGTACCTACTAACGTGAGTCCTCATTTTAAATAAGACCGTATTTGTTAGGGTCTTACGTTTATTACGTCGTAGTGATAGATGAGTACTAAGAGGCCCATGTTGATATGCGACTATTGCCAACTTGCCGTCTTATTTTTCGCGAAATCAGTGTTGTTTCATTTGACTCCTTGCTCTCCCCTAATTTGACCAACATTGAAACGAAATATTTCAGTAGCTCTTTAAAAACTTTATAATTTTATAAGTTGTAGTCTTTTGCTTTTCAATCTCATAAGGTTGCCGAACCCTGGCCTAGTAGAAAAAGCGATAATTCGTTTAACAAACTCAAATAGATAAATACCAATACCTAATGGCACTCTAACATGGATGACGCAACATCTATAAAACGTAACTCTGAAACGACATCTTTCCGCTACCAACGAATGGCCAATGTCCATTAACACGCGAAGAAAATAGAATAAGCGAAACGATCCATATCAGATCGATACAATAAGTCAATTAATTGGGTGGAATGTTTGGAGTATATGAACGTTTACAAGGAAGTTTTTTTGTCACAAATTCCTACTAAAAACACTATTTAACTATACATTAACTTACATCACATACTTTCTCAATAAAACATATTTGTTTTTGAGTTCAAAGTTTAAATTCCAAAACTTGTCATTGAGCTCGAAGTCTTTCGAGCACAACAAGTGTTTTAACTATCGTGACAAGGCCAAATAGATGTAGGTACAAATACTTCATGTGAACAATAACTAAACAATAACATTTTTAGACATTATTTGAAGAAAAAACATGTTAAATGAATACCTATATATTTCCACATGAAGCGACAGATAACTTATCAACAGGCACAAGCTATAATGCTATCTTATCAAAACCATTGGCCTCAAAACCGCACTGACTGTGACTGATAAATTCTTGTCAAAACGTCTTGCAAATCACTAGTATACAGATAACAAAGTGAAGATAAATGCAATCTTACCATTAAAACTACTTGTAAGTAAATTGATTGTACCGACAATTCGAACTCTGACCTTGACATTCATTTTGCGTTTGATTAAGAGCTAGTTTCCATGGAGTTACTTGTATGAATTTCTGCAGTTAGTTTCCGGAATAAAAAAAAATAAAAAGTAATGTAAATCAACATTTATTCCTTAATACAAAAGCATGTAATAAATAAATGCGTTAAATACAAATTACTGTTTGATAAAAAGATACCCTTAATTCCATTTGTGATACAAAATAATTTAGAATTGAGAAATAATCAAAGGTTACTTCTTAACATACTTTCATTCAGTCACTTTCCTAAACTTTTCTTTAAATTTTCCGCCAGTTTGTTCATAAATTCGAAGGTTTCATAATAGTCCGACCTTTGAACATTGTTCATTCCCTTTATACAAATCGCCAAATCCTTAGTCATCACTCCAGATTCAATTGTGTTAATGCAAACATTCTCAAGAGTTTCTGCGAAGTTCTTCAATTCTGTGTTATTATCCAATTTAGCACGATGCAGAAGGCCTCGAGTCCACGCAAAAATGGAGGCGATCGGGTTGGTCGATGTTTCCTTCCCTTGTTGATAGAATCGGTAATGCCTAGTTACGGTCCCGTGAGCAGCTTCGGCTTCTACGGTCTTTCCATCAGGACAAATAAGCACTGAAGTCATCAGACCTAAGGACCCATAACCTTGAGCAACAGAATCTGATTGCACATCTCCGTCATAATTCTTGCAAGCCCAAACAAAACCACCCTCCGATTTCATTGCATAGGCAACCATATCGTCAATCAGTCTATGTTCATACCAAATGCCTTTAGCTTCAAACTGAGACTTATATTCCTTTTCGTAAATTTCTTGGAATATATCCTTGAAGCGTCCATCATATTTTTTAAGAATGGTGTTCTTTGTACTCAAATATAGAGGGTATGCTCTATCCAAGGCATATTTGAACGAAGAATGGGCAAAATCGACAATGGATGCGTCGGTATTGAACATACCAAGAGCAACGCCAGCACCTTTGAAGTCATTAACAACATGTTTGATCGGCTGCCCTGAAGGTGGAGTCCAGATGAGTTCTAGTTTACCTTCTCCTGGTACAACAAAGTCTGTTGCTTTATACTGATCAGCGTGAGCGTGACGGCCGATGATTATAGGCTTTTCCCACCCAGTTACGAGACGGGGAATATTTTTGCAAATTATAGCCTCTCTGAATACAGTACCACCTAAAATGTTACGAATAGTACCGTTGGGACTTTTCCACATCTTTTTCAGCTTGAACTCTTCAACGCGCTTCTCATCTGGAGTAATAGTGGCACACTTGATACCAACATTATATTTCTTAACGGCATTTGCGCAATCAATTGTGACTTGGTCATCAGTGGCATCACGGTTTTCCATACCCAAATCATAAGTATGTAATTCAATATCTAAGAATGGTAAAATGAGTTTGTCTTTAATGAGATCCCAGATAATTCTGGTCATTTCATCTCCCAAAATGTCGACAACGGGTCCAGCCTTTATTTTCGACATTGTGATAATACTGTAACAAAAAGGAAAAAAGTATAATTTCAATGATTTTTTTTAATGAGAAAGCTATATTTTTTTTCTGTTTGAATAAAAACAGAATGTTATTTAATAAACAACATAATATGTGCTTATAATAAGGGTATATAAATAACTTATCTAATTTTTGTTTTTGACGTTCAAGGCATATTTTACGTAAATAAAGTTTTATCAAAAGTTTAATGTTTACAGTAAAACTTATTGCTGATAGGCCTATGAATTCACAACAATGTTGTTTTGCAAGTAGATATTTTAAATTTTCGTATGTACATAAGTTCTAGTCAAACTAATATGGTACATGGAAAACTACTTTTGCATAGAGCATATCTATAACTCGTACTAATTAACATGACACTTGAGGCCCTTGAACATGATATTTGTCCTTGAATGAAAATTTAATTTGTCTTATAATTTTGTTTAAATCATAGCAATAGAATAGGTATTCAGGTGTCATGTTATTTCATACAAATAGGATGTTCTAGAAGAACTTATGATTAGAATTTATAGTAAGTGTTGTTTAAATAATCATAAAATATAAAAAACAAAGCTTAAAGGGGTCCACCTCCTAACACCAGGAGTCAGTACCCTGGTTATTGGTGGATTACCCAATGCCAAAATACTTGATTCGTTGATATTTATGCACTTCGAAATTTTGAATACTTTGTATCATATATACTTATTAATAGTTTGTTACCATACTACCATTGGAAATTAATCAAAATCGTAATGAAGTAAGTGATTAACTGAATTAAAAATGTAAATTATTTTAAAAACGCATTTCAGTTGAATAAAAGTTGATTGTCTTTTTGTAACTAATAAATATTGATAGCTTTAGTTTTAGTGTTTCTCCTAAAATAATTAAATATATACATTAGCTAATTAAATTTAGTTAATGTAAGTTGATAAATAATTTATTTGTCAAATAGGTCATTAACTCAAGCATATTATTATTATGGTATATCTATTATAGTTTTTGTATTCATCAATGTATTATAAATAAAATAGGTTAACAACAAATATAAAATTATAATAATAAAAACAAGCAAGGGTCTGGCTTGTGAACCGAGGGTATGCAAGTTTCATTCAAATCAGTTTGGTAGTTTTTAAGTTTTAAATTGTTTGAGTGTTGAAATACAATACTTAAGGAAATCACAAACACTTACACAAACCTTAACTAGGGATTAAATAATTTTATCATTATCAATTACAGATTTGGTGTGATTTTATCTATGCACATACCTTTCATTCAAATGACATAAAAATTATTTTATTTTAGAAATGGAATCTTGTTAAAAAGAGCACTTGCCATGCAAAACCAATAAAAAAATGGCAATAGTATGGACTGGAGTTACTTGTCCCAGTATCAAACTGAGTAATACACAACCCATTGTCTAGTGCACAGCAGAACAAGTATGATAACACATAAACAAAACATACACAGTACAAAAGAAAAAAATCAACACTATAGCATAATACAATTCTCGAATATCTAAACTTAGGTCTTGGTTCTTTGCAACAGTAAATTTAAAGGCTTATTTTTGCCAAAATGGTTAAGTAATAATTCATTTCAGTAATATATATATATATTTTTATTACATATGTAACAGAGTGTATCTCGAAAAAAAAATTTTTTTTGAAATATAAGTATCACCAACATAACCTAATTAAAATGGTGAATTAATGTTAATATAATTATTATGTTATTTATTTTCTTATTTGAAAAAGTGCATATTAATCTAAGTTAAAGTTAGGCAATTTTTTTTTCAGTTTATGTCGCTAATGACTTTATAATAAACTGTTAAATTATGTATATAGTTTGACATTTTTCTTTTAAGATTATTTACTAAAGCTTTTACTAGGTTAAAGTACCAATAATAAATAACTTTTATGTTGGTTTATTTTTCAATGTAATTTATGTATTTCATTAAATTAAATAAAACTGTTTTATTTAAAACAAAAATGCAGATATGACAAAAACCTAGATATACTTAGGTAAGCATTGCTTTAAATAGATCAACTAATTGTAATATTATTATTAATCTCTTGAAGTATAAAATATTTGCTTCAAATTGTTATAAAGACATTAGCATAATATGTATTTTATTTCAGCAATGAAGTGTATTAAATCTACTTTTTTATCTTTTAATGTACTTTTAATATCTAAATTAACATACATGAAAATATAATTAAATCAGTGAATATAACCGCTACTGTGTAGGTTCATACTCATGAATTAATTTGAACTTGAAAAACAAGTTTTCTTAAGTACAAAGTTCAATTATGCAGGCTTCCACCTAGCATCAACTTATTTGTGATTTTATTAGATATGATGATTATATTAAAATTACAATAAATACCACAAAAGCTATATCTAATTTAATTAAGGTTGGTAACTTTATTCAGCTTACCGATTTATTAAGTAGAAAAGGCAGATAAATTTTTACTTAAAGTTTTCGACGTTATATGAACCGTCCTACTTTTAAGACACCTTCAGTACAACTAGTTGATAGTAATCAAAACCTTAATGACAGGTTCAGTTGCTGACCTTACGAAGGTTCTTTCGCTTTAGAACAGTTATTTCAACATTTTTAAGTACCGCTATTAATAAAGTTAGTGATAAATTAATACTAAGCCCTGCAAATTACCGATTTTAATACTTACATACGTGAAACCACTAATAAACGAGTTATAAACTATTTTGTAAATGAGTCTAAAAGGAATGGGAATGGTTAAAAAAAAAATGTATTCTAATTGAACTAGGGATATTCGATATACATCGATGCATCGAATTCACTCGATGTTTACATGACGATACATCGAATCGATTCGATGTTTTGAAAGCTATTGATTTCTTCGATGTATCGATGTATTTCATGAAACATCGAATAAATTGTAACTAGCTAACTACTGATTATACTCCATTTATTATAGAATTAGACAGAAGTTAAATAAGGTTTTTTTTATGGTATACTTTGTGATAAAATATCAATAATCATGTTACTCTTAAGACTGGCGGCTAATTTGCTACATACCTACTTAAATACCAACTGCTATACTTGACTGTTCTCATTTAAGCTATCTATTAAACAAATTTATGAGTATTTGACCAACATAAATGATTTAAAAACTATCACAATAAAAAGTGTGCATCTTAAAGTACCTAAAGAAGCAGGGTTGGATAGTTTCGGCACGATTCTCATGTCACTATAACTCTACCAAATTTAAAACGTTGCTTCAAGCTTTTTCGGCAAGTGGTGACAAAACTCTAAAAATAAATAATGCCTTAATTTATATGATTTGTAAAGACAATCAGCCATTTACCATCGCAGAAAATGAAGGCTTTCGCAATATGATCAAAGTTATTGCACCTCAATATAAACTTCCCAATAAGACGACATTGACTCGATGAGTTGATGACAAATACGCGGCAATATCGATAAGTTTTAAAGAAAAGTTATCAAATATCGAAAATATTACTCTAACTACTGACATGTGGACTGAAACAATGACCATGAGGAGCTTTTTAGGAATAACAGCACACTTCGGCGTCGGTATTGAATTAAATTCAATTACTATTGGAGTGTACCAGTCAAATGAACGTCATACGTCGGAAAACATCGCTGAAATGCTGTCGAACACTTGTACTGAATGGGGCATCGACAAAGATAAAGTTTCGGCTGTGGTGACAGATAACGCAGCCAACATGGTAAAAGCCATAGATTTGGCTTTTGGGAAAAAACATATACCATGTTTTGCACACGTCTTAAATTTGGTGGCACAGAATTCTATTCAACAGTGTACAGAGCTACGAAATTTAATAACTAAAGTCAAGGATATTGTTACTTGGTTCAAACAGAGCAATATCGCTAGTAACGAATTGCGTAAAGCGACTGACAAGGACACTAAATTAATTCAAGAAGTTCCGACCAGGTGGAACAGCACGTTTAATATGATCGAAAGATTTTTAGAGCTCCGAGCTGTCATTAATAATATAATAATTAGTTATAGAAATGCACCACCGATGCTTACTGCCTCTTAACTATCAATTCTTTCTTCAGTTTTACAAGTACTGCGACCAATAGAAGCTGCAACCAAGGAAGTGTCAGGTGACAAGTACTGCACTAGCAGCAAGGTTATTCCACTTATCCACTGCCTTATTTTAAAAGTACTATCTCTTCAGCTCGAGGATTCTCTTGGAAAAGATCTGAAATCGCTAGTCTTAAAAGAGATTGCCAAAAGAATGGGTGTTATAGAGAATGTGACACCTCTCGCCATAGCTACAGTATTAGACCCAAGATTCAAGAAAATGCATTTCACGAATCCTCTTGCTTGCTCTTCAGCTGTTGCAAAAGTCAAAGACTTAATGAAAACTATAGCACAAAATGAGGCAGAATCAGATTCTTCGGATAATTCTGAGAAACCTGAAGATAACTTTTGTTTATGGGAAGATCACCATAAATTAGTCCGTAAGAACTGGAAAACGTCGAAGACCGACGGCTCTAGTTCTGACGAGCTATCTATATATTTACGTAGTCCAGTAGGAAGACTCAATGAAAACCCATTACAGATATGGAATGATCTTAAAATTCAGCTACCCAAACTACATATAATCGCTTATAAGTACCTCACCATGGTGGGGACTTCAGTGTCAGCTGAACGTTTATTCTCAAAAGCTGCACAAACAGTTAATCAACAACGTAATCGACTAAAGGGCTCCCGCTTAAATAAACTTATGTTTTTGCAGTCTTCCAAAAGAACACTGGAAAAAGGCCATATTTCCAGTATTCCATTAGGATTTTTACTTTGGCTGATTTTTTTATAAGTCTTTACCGTCGCCTCTTCTCGTAATAGGTATACAAATGAGAATCCTGTCACATTATATAAATAGATATATTTTAGATGTACCGAGGTCCTAGGACTATTGAGTTAGTGTTAGTATGATAAGGTTCCACAGTGTATACATAATTCATAGACTTGACTGTACTTTTTGTAATAAAAATAAAGGATATTTTCACACTTACCTATGGTAACCATTTTTTAAAACTGTTAAAAAAGTACTCGATTTTAGAAAAACATCGATGTTTTAAACCGATGTATCGAAAAGTATCGATGCATAGTCGCGATGTATTGCATCGAAAAAAACATCGATGTATTTTCTTAATGGACACCCCTAAATTGAACATACTGACATTTGCATGTCACGTCATCTGACTAGGGATGTTGATCTGAGACTCACAGTGATTGTCCAGCACAATCGATACCAATTGATTGTGCTGGACAATCAATATTTCACCATTGATGTCGGGCAGAGGTTTTGAGTAAATCTTAAATATATTAATCACCTAGCTTAATAGAAGTTTCGAAAATTCGTAAAAATTTCGTAAAAAAAAAAGAAATGTATTCTAATTGAACATACTGACATACTGACATTGAACAGCTGTCGACGAGTACCTTTACCTGGGACAAATAGTCCGATTAGGTAAGTCCAACTTCCAGAGAGAGGTAAGTCGACGGATCCAACTCGGCTGGGCAGCGTTCGGGAAGCTACGCAGTGTATTCTCGGAACATCTACCGCAGTGTCTCAAGACAAAAGTCTTTAATTCGTGCGTGTTGCCAGTGATGACATACGGTGCTGAGACGTGGCCGCTTACGATGGGCCTCATAAGGAAGCTCAAGGTCGCTCAGAGGGCAATGGAAAGGGCTATGCTCGGGGTTTCTTTGCGAGATCGAATCAGAAATGATGAGATCCGCAGAAGAACTAAAGTCACCGACATAGCCCAAAGAATTGCAAGCCTCAAGTGGCAGTGGGCAGGGCACAACGCTCGCAGGACTGACGGCCGTTGGGGCGGTAAGGTCCTGGAGTGGCGACAGCGTACCGGGAGACGCAGTGTTGGCACCTTGTGGGGACAAGGTGGACCGACGATCTGGTGAAGGTCGCGGGAAGCCGCTGGATGCCGAAAGCGCAGGACCGATCGTTTTGGAGATCTTTGGGGGAGGCCTGTGCCCAGCAGTGGGCGTCTCTCGGCTGAAATGATGATGATGATGATGATACTGATATTTGCATGTCACGTCATCTGACTAGGGATGTTGATCTGAGACTCACAGTGATTGTCCAGCACAATCAATACCAATTGATTGTGCTGGACAATCAATATTTCACCATTGATGTCGGGCAGAGGTTTTGAGTAAATCTTAAATATATTAATCACCTAGCTTAATAGAAGTTTCATAAATTAGGTTTTGCTTTTGTTAATATTTTTTTAAGCTAGTTATATATTAATAGCCAATTAATAGACAACTAAACCGATTTTGAAATTCGTCAGGGATTAAGGGAGATCCAGCCACCCTAGATACTCATAACCCATTCACCCTAGTGTCCCATAATTCCTAAAATATAATCCAAAAATTTTTTTTAACAAGCCATTCATCATCCAAGCCATTTTTTAACAAGTTGTAGGAAATCTGAACTGCGACCACGTCCAGTGGTTTGTACGAGAGCTTGGTTGAGGTATTGCCAGTGGCATAGCTAGGTAATCTAGGGCCCTGGGGCAAATAAAAAAATGGGGCCCACTGCTATCAAAACTTGTAAAGTTTTTGGAAGTAAATCATTAAATATACAAATACTTAAAAATGCTACGTAACTTTATCATCAGCTCTTTTTCGTGCATGGGCAGGTAATAAAACTATTAAACACTAACAAAATAAATTACAATTATTTTTATACTTTTTGTAGGTATTGGGCAATAAAACGAAATAGAAAAGATTCAAGGGATTATTAATAATAATAATAATATTCTTAATTGCACAAATATAGAACACATTACAAAGAAAGAAAAGATCAGACAGTACACAAAAGGCGGCCTTATTGCTATGCAGCAATCTCTTCCAGGCAACCAATGGCAATATAGAAACATAAATAAATAATAATTAATGATGATGGGGAGTAGGTGCAATAGCGACAGAAATTAAATAGATATACATAAAGAGAAAAATAGATAATGTACATGAATGAGAGAGTTAAAAGCTAGAGAGAAAGGGGCATTTTACTTCTGCGACGAAAGATCGCAAGGTGCGAGACTTCCTAATATTTTCTGGTAACGAGTTCCAAAGCCGAACAGCTTGAACAGAAAAAGAATAGGATAGGAAGAGTGAGAAGGGATATCAAGTTTCAGGTTTGAGGCAGACCGCAGAATACACTGTGATCTGGATGAGGAGTTGCGAAAGGAAAAAAAAAATTTAAGTAGGGTGGAGACTTGGGCAAGAAAAGAACAAAATAGAGAAGCGTAAGAGTGTGTAAGTCCCTGCGCCGGCGAATAGGGTGCCAGTTAAGTTTTGAGCGGAAATGCGACAAATGGTCATATTTGTTAAGGAGTTCCTCGGTAAGATCAGTATAGCAAACATCAGCGTTGTCAATGTTGGAAAGTAGGAGAGTTTGCGCAAGCTTGATTTTAGTTTTTGTTGGTAACAAATTTCGAAGTCGATTAAGCGAATAGTACGCAGCAAACACTTTTTTATCAGTGCATCTATTTGAGGTGTCCATGTTAAACACTGGTCATATATGATACCAAGATTTTTGACCATACTCGAGTAAGGAATGGTAATTCCATCGAAAGAAACTGACGGGAGATGTTAAAATCAATCCTCGAAACGAAATGTGGACTTCCGATTATTTTTTATTTTTTTTTGTCCATAATATTAGTTTTCTAATTTATTTATGCAATATTTATGTAAGATTGTACTCAAGTAGATACTTATTGTTCACTGATAACGTTACAAGTAAAAGGAAAGCGAAACGTAATGATACAATACAAGACGTCGTTGGGGAATCCCCGGCAAACATTTTATCGCCGCTAGTGTTACCACATTTGACGGTTTAAAAAATGACAAAAAACATCACATAATTAATGGACGGCCCCCTACCGCAAGTGACTTGTACTTTTCATGGTATTTTGAGTTATATAGTGAGTAGCCGAAATCTATAGATTTCTTTACGTAACTATGTATACGTACTATAATCAAATAAAATTGAAGATATTGATATACAACAAATTGATGAAAACATTAATAACACTGTCAACCCACACATACTTATAACTTTGGAATTTCTCACAACTGAGTTGCCATGATTAAATTCGAGTTGTCACCTGTCATATTTATTTTGAAAATGGGAGAAATTTTCGAAAATTGAGTTCGATAGAGATTTTCTGGTAAAGATTCGAGGGCCCCCTGAGCTTGAGGGCCCCGGGGCACTGCCCCGCCTAGCCCCTTGGTAGCTACGCCACTGGGTATTGCGTCTAGTTCTGTCAGCTAAGGTGACTTTAGCTGAATCTAATTCCAACCTTACCTTAGAACATGTCTTTAATAAATTTATGGATATGTGAAGTCAATTTAATTTATTCGTTCTTTATAATTTATTTTTAATGGAACTTAGACGTGACAAAAGAAATTGGTTGAAAGCGTTTTATTCGAAAATTTTCGTTATTAAGAGATTTACAATATTTTAAATTAATACTGAAAAATGTGTAAGCCTATTAAAATAATGAGAATTTAATAGAAAACATAATTGATCATTACTTTCGATTTTAAATGAATTTTCATATCCTGTAATATCAGTTTTTGAAATAGATAATTTTAAAGATTCAAATTAAGAGAAAATTAATTCTGAAATAAGTCTTTTCATAAAATATCGATATGTGTATTGATTTGAATAGTATATCAGTCTCTATTAATGATATTCGTAAATAGCCCCAATTACATATGAAATGGATTAATAAAATTCACCGTTGAAAAAATTATATTATTTTTTGTTGCATAAATGTTGTAAATATAACGTTTAAAATCCAAACACATATAATCAATATTTGACCCTTCGTGATATCCCGAATTAGGAAGTATTTAAAAAAAACGAGAGCACTAAAAAAGAACCTTCACTAGATGGCGGCTCTAGCAAAAGTTGATTATTGCAGGTAACGAATGGACCAAAGACAGTCATTTCCGTTCCTATTGGCTAACATATTAAAAAACTGAAATTTTAAAAGTTCGGAACTAAGATATCAATACAAATATAAAAAAGTACAAATGGAATATGGATTTGAAAACTAATTTACTTTTAAACATGAAAGAAAACCGGAAAGGTTTTCATGGAGAAATCAAGAACGTGCCGTAGCCACATGTAGTTAGATTTCGGGAACTATTTTACGTAATTTTTATATATGTGCAACACCCGGATAGGGTACGCTTAGACCAAGGGCGTCGAAGGTCATGTCGTAGTTGATCTAACAGCCGTCTAGATTGTTGATTGGTCAAGGTCATCTTGGTCGGAGCTCAGATTTCCTATCGTTTGGACAACTGTTTACTCTTATTATATTTTGATTAATATAATAATTAGAACAAAAATTCTCATCTTTATCGAAAGTTTCAATATTTGTAACAATATTTCTTTCGGCTGTTTGGGTGGATGCCTGAACATTGATGAGAATACGATCTGTAGTAGCGAAAAGTAACAAGTGCTTGAAAGATTCATCAGTCCCGTTAGGTCCTGGGTAGCTCAGCGGTTAAAGCAGTCACCTGGATTGCGAAAGGTCGTGCGTTCGATTCCCATTTCAGGGTGCCAGGGACCAAGAGGATTTTTTAAGCATTTTGCATTAAGAATAACTGTTTAGTTTTATTACACTACCATAATAAGGGTGAAGAGACCCTAGAAATTTGTATTAATTAACTATGTTAATAAGGATTATCATAATCATCATTATCATCAGCCCTTTTACGTCCCCACTACAGGGGCTCAGGCCTTCGTTATGGATGGTTAAGAACGAATAGCCATGACTTTCCACGTTGGCTACTGATAATTGGAGAGTATTATCGGCTGCAAATGTAGCCGGGACCAACAGCTTAACGTACATTCCGAAGAGATAATCATTACTTGGTTACCCATACCGTGGTTGATCACCCTTGCGAATGTTTCTTAATTCGCCCGTGCTATCGAACTATCACGAAATCTAGCTGGTAACCGCCCACGGGAAATTCTTGTAGGCAGATGTGCATTCCTACCTTCTGCTTCATTATACACAAATTAAATTAAAATATATATAGATCTTTAGACCTACTTCACTATAATGAAAAACAATATGCAAAATTATTAAAATTCACATATAATTTACAATAAAAGTAACCGTCATATAAAGAGTTTGAGAAAAAAAAAAAGTGAAGCTAGACTAACAGCCTGTAGAATTAATATTTGGTATTGGTCATTTTCACGTTTAAGAAACTATTTTAGTTAAATATTATAATTACATTCTAAAATAGTATCTTTGTCAGAATTTAGAACATGATTAATTTTATATTAACTAAACTACTAGTATTATAAGACCTTTTTACAGTACAGTGATATCAGTCACATCACTACAGATTCCATTTTTTTATTAATAAACGGCTTAGAGATCTTGTTTACGGTATCATCTCTAACAAAACTATACATAAAGTTTTTGTTTTGTTTGTCTTACGTTCCTGCATTTTTCGGTTGGTTTCAAATATTATACTGAAAAAGAACATAGAAAAAAAGCACCTCAGACGTGGGGCTGTTTAAAATAGATTCCTTTAACATTAACAATTATGACTACGAATAATGAAAAGGGATGAGATTCTATCAGAAATAATTTTTATCGTAATCAGATAAAATCATAGAAATAAAAATCGATTTACATCGATATGTTTCTCATTTCATATTATCAAAATAATTGATTATTCGGGCTTAGTGTAATACTGCATAACTGTTTTTTTACTAATTAGAGCAAATTTTAGATGAATTTTAATGTTAAGATTGAGTGTTCACATCAACTCCAACAGCTAAAAACTGTTTTTATCTAATAGGAAAGGGAAAGGTAAGAAATCGGGCAGTGTAATAAGCCTATAAAACTAAACAGAAAATATTGAAATTTATATTTTCCTGTTTACAAATCTATGAATATAATATAGGTTAATTAAGGAACTGGCTATTTCTAAGAAACTAACACATGTTTTTTATTGGTCCTATTTGGTAAATAAAATTAACCGAAGAAGATCATTGATTAAATATAGAAAAAAAATATTGTTAAGATTTTATTTCTACAGAAAATAGACTAAAGATAAATTTTATATTGTTGAACATAAATATAAAAATTAAAATAAAACAAAGATAAATATAACTTCTAATTACCACAAAATGCGATGCACCAGCCGTCCAAGCACAGTTTTTTCATATTTGTAGCAAGTTTGTTTGTATTTTGTGAATTGGCCCTTTAAACTATAAATTAGTAGGCACAGTTTATTTTAAGAGCCATATCTTAAACTTAATCTTAACTTCTTATCTTTAATACTTTAAAATTATATATCATTAATATTGCCATTCCGAGCCTAAATCGCAGTTATAATAAAAACAAGAAATCGAGAAAGACGCGCATAAAGTTTAAATGTTAATGTTTAAATGTATATATCACTAACAAATCATGTTTATGATAAATTTTGAATGTAGTGTAAGAAAAATTAGAATAATAAAACAATTCACAAATTAAATTTTGAACCCCTATTACTACTTATATATAATAAGTTACGCTTGAAATTTATAAATGAAATTTAAAAAAAACTTAATAATTACAGTTTTGCTGTTACTGCGGTTTAGGCTCGGGAGGGCATAATATACGTATCTACTTTACCACTATGCATACACAAAAAATGTGTTCATAGAAATCTCCACCTGATTTTAAGGTATTTGCCGGATACTAAACTGACTCTACTATTAAGTACTGCAGTTAGTGGTTAGATAAATACGCAAACATTAAAGAATACCACTAGCCTTAAGGTTTCTGTGCCACGTAATTGGCGTAAATGGCGTACTATGTTATATATTTCTGGCACTAACAAATTTAGTTATATGTATGACAAACAACTGTTGTGTAGTCAGTTGGAAAATCTTTGGTTTCAAGTTATTCTTATGTTTGGTTTAATATGACGTGAATAAAGATGAGTACATTTCTAATCAAGACTTTCCTATTTCATATCGAGTAATAACACATTACTCACTTCACTAGTCATTTAATTGATCTGTCGTAATTTAGCTGGATTTTGTGTTTTAGAGATTGTTTGTTTGATTAGTTTGATTGTTTTTGTGGGGTGATTTTAAATGCCTGTATTTAGCATGTTTTCGTTGGAAGCGGGTTTGTTAGAGTATAATATGTGAATGTCATTCAGTTGTGTAGTTATAAATGTTACTACACTTTTCCCTTATATACAGGGCTGTAAGTGGTTCATTTGTTCGAAATGGTGATTCAAAAGATTTGGAACAGTGTTGAAGTGCCACAACAGACTACAGAAAACAGTTCATCGACTAATTCGTGGAATTTTCAAGCACCAACGAAAACTGTAGTCGTTCGCTCAAACGACGCTTCAGCAGGTGCTATGCAGGTGAACTTTATTTTTATTCTTCATCAGAATTAACTTTTGAACGAAACAATGAATAAGTTAATGTTTGTATATATACAAACATAAATAATATGTTACAAAGAAACTATACAAACATATATGTTTGTATGGTTACTTATGATAATACATTGATAAGGTTCATAATGTATATTATACTTGATTATGTTTCAGAAACCGCCTATAACACGACAAATCGCCATCAATACACTGGCTGCTATGCATCGAAGATTTAGTCTTCCAGGTCCAGTACAGCCTCATTCTCGGCCTATTGCTGAATTTCGAGCAAGTGCCAATAAGTCACTTGATATGTTAAGGCAAACTATACAGTCTGCTGTAACTAGAGAGATTGATCAAGTCATCAAAAAATATTTAGAGGTGAGTGTAAAATTGTAAGTATACAGAATTTTGACACAAAGATTTCAAGGTAAGCTTTTATAGTTAAATGAATTATATATTTTTAAATTAACAGTCTCATTAAAATGTTGGATAATTGTAATACCTTTGACTGAGTTTATTTAATAAAAATTAATTTGATTAGCTCTCAAGTAGTTGTTTTTTAATATAATATTTAACTTTTGTAATCTGAGGCAATAAATCATTTGATTATTATTATGTATATTTTCTCAATTTTTGTGACCAATTTGAAGACATTACTTTTTATGAAAGTTAAATATGAGCTGAGCAAGAATAACATTCAATACACAATGACAGTAGGAGCTGGTGAAGTATATTAGCTTCAAAGTCTAAAACAATGATTAGTCTGTAACTTGTTATGAAAATTCTAATTTCCATTACAAAATATGTTTTTTGAATCCTTGATTCAAGTTAGAGTCGTATTACAAAACTTAGTGTAATGTAAACCTTATAAAATGAAAGAAATAATTATCATTTTATATTTTTACTATTGCAAAAGCTTTATAAGGTTTAATTTATTATATGTATAGTCAGAGGCCTAATTGTCTAATTTCAAAATCTGTCGCAATCCTTTTCATGACATTTGAAATATATTCACAAACTTCACACTATTTGACATGTGATAGTGATTGCGAAATCTTGTTTGATATATTGAACGAACTATAACATCAATTCAACCTCTGTAACTGAGTGGTTCCGTTCCCATTTCAAGATTGACATCTTGAAATGGGAATGGATAATGTGTCAATATAGAAAATGAACTTTTCAATATTGTCTCAAGTCTGGATGTTGTGTTACCCTCATTGTCTCAGATACTCAATAATATAGTGTTGATACTCTGAAGTATGTGATGTTGTCTGATATTTATTTAATTTGATGTTAATTGGAATTATCTAAGCAAAGCTATAGGTGCTTGAAAACTATTGAGAAACGTCAAAGTAAAGAGTTAAATGCTAACTAAGTTTTTATTGTTCTTGATAATCTTTAAATGAAACAACTTATAAATGGTTTCAACATGTTTCTATTTAGTTTTATTGATGCTTCAGACCCTTTACAGGTTCCATGTTCACATAAGATAAAGGTGTTGATTGTCTTTTTAAATAAGAGTATAGGTACCTTTTAACCAACTTTCACAATACCTCAAACTTTTTTTGGCAACATATCGACGCTGGAAAGCAAACACATAGTAACCCGCAAAACCAAAATTGTTCTTTAGAGCAGAAAAACTTTTATTTTATTCGATAAATAATTCCTATAAACGTTCATAGTAACAAATAAGGTGTTCCTTAGTCAATTTATACAGAAATAAGATATTTTATTTTGGAAAAATATAAAGATTTTCCACTTTAAATATCCATTTTAGGTTTGCAGGTTACTACGTGTTTGCTTTCCAGCGTCGATATACATTTATTAAGTTAAATTATTTTAAAAATACATTTGACTTATTAACTCTTGGCTACCATGATCTATCACCAGTACGAAATTTGGGAATCTTGTCTGAGAAGAGCTGGTGAAACATACTCCAACAAGAAAAGTAAATTGCTCCCTTTGATTTAACATTTACAGAATGAACTAACTGTATTTTTTGGTTTTACAATGTGTGATCTGGATTGAGATTTTATTTGATTAATTACTGGATCCCATGCCGGTGGTATATGCCAACTTTCATCTCTATTAAAATTTAGATGTTTTTTAATTTCAAGAGCCTCACATATCATTTTAGGGATGAATTTTGTTCAGCTGCAAGTATTTTATATTTTCAAATCTTATGTAATGATTGGGTCCTCTTTTTGCATGTTCACACACTGCAGTTATTTTCATCTATCATTTTTATTGGAGTTTGGCACTGCCAGTGATGCACTTTCCCCTCATTCACATACTGATATGCCTAATGGCATTTTTTAAAGCGAGTTATATTATCATTGCTGTTAGCAGTCCCACAGGTAATTTTTATGAGCTTCAATAGATGTTAGGACGTCTGATTAAAGACTAAAGAGTGATTGCAGATATAGGAAGGGAAAAGAAAAAAATGTTTTTAGAACATTCAGATTATTGTAACAAATGTATCTTTAAAAGTTACAGAAATTGCTATCATAATCTTTGAAAGGGATTGCAAAGATTTAAAAATGAGAAAATTAGCCCACAGAATATTTGAAAAATAACTAGCAATACTTATGCAAAAAAAACCATTTCAGAAATTCTTTGTTCCTGCTGTAAATAATATAAGACTGAATTTGGGGGATGAGTCCGTCAGCGAAGATCAAGTAAGTTGCATTTGGCTTTTTTCACACAATTGCCTGAAATTTTCTAATAAAAATTAGTTCTTTATTTTATATTACTGAACATATTGATTGTCTATGAAAATATTGTTTATAATAATGCTAGAAAGCAACCAAAATTGTTCTGAAGAACTATAACTTTCAAGAGTAGATAAACTTTATGATTTTTATTTAAAAAAAAATCATATATCTGTATTAATCAACCTACATACTGTTGCACAAACATTCATTAAAATGAGTTTTATAGTTTGAAACAACATTGCTTTTTTTATATTACAGGTGAGAGCAGTCTGTCGTGCAATGTTGGATGCCACCCGTCTCTTATATACCACCCCACCAAAACCAACACCATCACCTCAAGACACCAGTGATTCTGAATCAAATAACAGCATCGATTCCAAGTTCACTAAGCAAGTAAGTGTACATATATAAGCTTAAACAATGTCAATGTTGTTTCAAGCTTAACAGATATGAACTCTTTACATTTACTGGGATATACAGGGTTATTTGTAAAACACACACTCTCAGGACTAGATTGCTGACATAAATAACAACACTTGTTCTATGATTTTAGACGATAGAGGGTATTACACCTATTTTTGAAATAAATCTGAATTCAATCTTAAGATCGTAATAAACCAAGGAAAAATACATATAAAATTCCAATCCATCAGTAAGTGCACTAACATTACATCTAAACTTTACATTTTCAAATTTCGTACAAATTTGACGAAACTGCTTGACGTTACGTTGGTCTGTAGTTGTGTTCTCAGTTAGTATTGTAAAAAAAAACATACTGCTTATTGTATTAGCTATCTCAATAAAATACCCTATTCTGTACAATTTGAATGAATTAATGGATGATCCATTTTATTGTACAAACACCATCAATAAGTAGTACGAACAAAAAGAACGTAACGTACAATTCGTGGTCTTGTCGCTTATAAGCGATTTCTTACAGGTATAGTTACTGTTTTGGATAACTTTAATTTAGGTGGATTATGATATTCTTAGAAGTAATTATTAGCGACATCTTACAACTAGAAATATATATATACATATAATGCATATAATATTACTAAAATATACACCAATATATATAATGAAAATAAATTTAATCATAGTGACAGATAATCTTTCTTGACGCGACGTTTAAAATTAATCAATTATTCTTGCAAAGCATTCCAGAAACTTGCAGTTTGAATTTGAAAAGATTTATCTAGGAATATACTGGAGTGCTAGTATCTCCAACCTTGAGTTTTTCGTCGATCTCAAAACTTGAGTGTGGTAAAGAAACTTAAAACGTTCCTAAATTTCTGTCCGAGGAGAGTCCTGCTCAGAGGGAGGTGACGGTTAACACGATGAATTCTCTTATCGGTTATCAGAAAGTTCTCAATTAGTGCATACGTCGGGTCTGCGGATTTCGCCTGACCTGGGAAGTCCTGGGAACACGCGTTTGATTTGATTTCGAGTTCAGGTCAGCGATGATGATTACATCGTCAATCCGGAGGGCGACTTCTTTTTCTGGTTCACCCTTTCGCATCAGCTTCGGCGGGTACTCCTTCATCCATCGTTCATGATATTAGTTATTAAATCCTGCGAGCTGCCATATATATAAATATATAACCCTGTATATCCATTGTGTAGAAAATTATTTCTTCTATTCAACTAATTTTATTATTTCTTCTATTCAAAGACAAGAAGCTAATATGAGTCTAATTACTCATCAATCGTTTGCCATTTTAAAACGATTAATTGTGTAATCTTATCTTGTTTTCTAATTTAAGCTACAAAGTCCATCACAAAAACGTAAAGAATCTGATTTGGAGATTGATTTGGGATTGAAAACTAAGAAAATAAAGCAAGAAGAGACTTCTGATAGTGCATCTTCGTCACCGCTACCATCACCAGCTATTAGAGATCCGGAAAAATGGAATCCTACTAGACTGAATCAAGATACATTATTTATTATGGGATCCCACGCACATAAAGTAATTATTATGAAATAACTGGTCAAATGAATAATTAAATTCGTTTAACCAACATTATTTGTTGGGTTTTGTGAAAGCAAAAACATGTTTGAATTAAATGATGTTTCAGGTATTAGGATTGGGCAGTTCTCGAGGCCGTTTGTATACAAGGCATGCTGGATTACTTAGATATCCTGCAGACAGCATTGATAAGGAGTGGATTGCCAATCACAATTTGGTGAACGCAGTGGGCGGGAAAACTTATATAATGGTAATATGGTTCAATATGATTACATTCAATATATCGATTGTAAAAAAAAATTCAAATATTAATTATTTTGATTAGGTTTTGGAAGATATTGAAGAACTTGCTCATAGTGAGGCCTATCGACACAGCTCATTACCAATGCTTGGGGAATTAACTGGGTTCAAAGTACCACCCTTTATGTTGAGGAAAATTAAAACGTATGTAATGAAAAGAGCATTAAGTTGTGATAACGTTGATAGTCCTCAACCATCCACGAGTAATGTTATTGAGGAAATAAAGTTGGAGGATATTAAAATTGAGCCCCATCAAAATTATGACAGCAATTTTAATGCCAGCCAATATATAACTAGTTCTGATGACACGCAAGACTTCCCTGAGGTACCCAATCTAAAAGATGATGGAGACTTCGCTGATATTAAAGTTGAAGACATAGAAGACATAAAGGTAGATGGTATTAAAGTAGAAGATTTGGATGAAATGAAAGTTGACGGTATTAAAGTTGAAGATTTGGACGTTAATAGTATCAAAGTTGAGAACATAGATGTTATAAATGTGGACGGTATCAAAGTCGAAGATATCAAACTAGAAAATGAGGACGCATTCGCTCTTTGTAAGGAAACAGATGATGATCAAAATCCTTTGGTGGATGGTCTCTTAGAAGCTGATATAGAATTTCTGAGCAGGAATTTGGGTAATATTGAAAGTGATGCTGACGCAAGGAAAACTATAGAGAAATTGACTGGAGCCAATCCTGACACTATCACTTTAGTGGGAGATGAATTTGATTTGGGATCTACATTGAACACCAGTAACGTAAGTATACAAAATGTATATATTGTAAACTTACAATTTCTGATTTGAGTTGAAGCTTTAGTCAGAATGTCAATATGACCTGTTATTTCATACCTATGAATGATTTAAAAATAATTTTGTGAGATATATGAAAATTTCGGTCGAACATAAATTCTTATTATATTTTTGCAGTTCTCCAGCAATCAAACTAAGTGTATAACAGTAGCGTCTACAACCAGTGGAATGATACATAGTGTTCCCGTGGCCCATATTGCCGCTCCACCCCGCATTACTGGCAGTACTGTACATTACTACACTAGTACATCCGTGCCTAATACTCAAAGGACGATACACCACTTGCCCCAGGCCACCGTTACTATACAAAGTATTCCTGGCTCAACGTCTCAGATGATACGCGGGTGAGTAATTAATTCAAAACAGTACTTGCATATTCGACTCTAGGTCGGATATGAATATTTTTTTGGCAATATCCATTATGTGTCAGGAAACCATTAAGTATTCTCAATTCATTTTATTAAACAATATTGTCCAAATATTCGAGAATGATAAACTAATCTTAATAACAGCAACATACCTTGTATATTACTTCGAGAACTACATACCGCTTGTCTCAGACATATAGATACCATTATACAGGGTCATTGAAAACACCAGCGTAGTGACATGTTTTATTCATAAATAAAATTACGTCACTACGCTCGCATGTTGTGTACAGTGCGTAGAGTTATTAATATTAGAGCAGCACAAAAAAATAAAATAAAAGTTTATATTTGTATGAAAGTAAGTGTTACATGTTACTCAGGTGTATCATTATCAAAATCTTTACAACGAACATTCATGCTTATGCTATTGGGTATCTAACTTTGTTTCTGGTGTCCCCACTGCAGGGGCTCTGCCCTTCCTTATGGGTGGTTAAAGCCCTCCAAGCCATGGGCTTTGACTCTCTACGCCAGCCCAATGCGGAATGCCGATAAACTTAAATAAACATTGTACAGGAGCTTTATAACTTTTTTTGCCAACCAATATGTGCTTAGACTAAGATAAAAGGGACAGTTAGGACAGTGTTAAAAATCATATATCCAGTTATGTTATCGTAATAGGTATAATTATAAAGTGTTAGTGTTATCTTATCATAATAAAGTGCTTCCACCAAAAGTGACTAATTTTCAATTGATTTGGATAAAGAAGTAACTTTCAAACAAGCTCTGATCAAAGATGAGAGGACTACATTATATACAAATGGGCACTGAATAAGTAAAATATTGAATTTACATTTTTTTTTTATAATCGAAATAAATACAATATTAATTTAAAAAATCATCTTTTTTACTGCTTTTCTTAGTTTATATTTTTATATATATTTCTGATATCGATAAACATCTGGAGTCCCTTTATGACCGATAAATTTACGAAGAACTTTTACAATAATCATAATGCTTTGCAAGTAATTAATCAAAAATAGTTTTCGAGGCTCACTTCTCACTCCCCTGTTCTTATCTGTCTCATTAGGATAGTATTGTCATTATGCCCAACCCTAAGTATAATGTATCTTTGGCAGAATACCGATTAACACGAAAAGTGGTACCTTCAGCACCGTGATGTCCCAAGGTACGGCTAGCACGATAATCGGCTTCGGCACTAGAGCTAACAACGCCACAATCATCGGAACACCCACACAGTATGTTAACGTATCATCTAAATCTTTTCCGACTGGCAACATTCTCCACAACGCTATCGTGTCGCGCAACATTATCAATCGTAACTTCAACGCGGTCACATCTGGTGTCTCTTTCAACGTCTCGGCGGTACGACCAGTAGTACATACTACAGCACCTAAACAGAACACTGTTGTATCGGCGAGTTCAGACTTCGATAATATATCCACCACAAAAGACATGATAGATAACGCTTGTAATTCTTCTGTGATGCTGAAAAAAGTTCTCACTTTGGGCAGTGCGGGTGCGACAAAGTCATTTGTGATGCATAACACTCAAAAGGTGTTGTCTACCGGTTTCGCTAACGGGTCTACACCCCCTCCTAACGTGACTATAGTTAGTTCAGGTACTGGTGGGGGTATTTTGAATAATCCTAATATTGGGCACTCGACATCATCTATAGTAAGTCCCACATCTGGAACGTTGAGTGCTACTCATGCGACTTTGTCTGCGCTACTCTCTTCAGGGGAAAATGCACCGCCAAATAAGAACTGAATTTAATAATCCATTTCACTAATCTACCAAAGTATTATTCCCTTTATTATTGATCTCATAATGATGTGTGATATAAAAATAATGCTCTTATAGTATACTCAATAGATAATAACAGCGATTTTTAAATCCTAATGTGTAATCCTCGTACTCACCTGTTGTTATTAGCTCTGTGGTTATTTAGAATATTGTCTATAACTATTGTCTATGGCTGTGTATTTTAGGTTATAAGGAGTATGAAATGCAGATACGCCAAATTTTAAAGTTTCGCCAATTAAATAGAAATTATTGTGAAATATATTAACTCACTATGCTCATTATAAAATGATACTACGTTATTAATGTGTAAATGGGGATGATGAATCTGTAGAGAATCACTAGTTAATTAAACAAAAAATAAAAAAGAATAAAATATAACAATATTAAAATTGATTCTACTTTGGTAGAAGGAACATTTTCGACCCCGCGCTGTGTTTACAAATCGCAGAATTATATGTTACCCATTAATGTATGTTACTAAACTTTTCAAAAATCGACTTATCTGCCAATGGTATAATATATTTTGCAATTTATATTTGTCGTTACCGAAAGTCTCGCACAATAAAATCGATTATCATCCCTATTGTGTGATCTTGTTTGTAAGAAGATTTCATATATTTTTTTATTTATTTACACTGTACTTCAGTCATGTTTTTTATGTAATACTTTTTTTCATTTGCTTCATTTATTTGTTGTGAACCGATCTATTGGTTACCAGTCATCTGTATAATTCAGGTATTCAATACGTTTTCTATAGGGCTATGTATCTCACCTGGTGATATGCGGTGAGATTTTAGACTAACTCCCCCGACCTACTTCGTGTATTTTTATTGTTATACGACTGCCTAAAAGGAGAGTATATTGTGTTGAGGGTTAATGTACGTACGTATGTGTGTATGTACGTATTTTTCGGCAACACTTTTTTTTTGGTGGGATCACTAAGGGTAAATGCCGTAATTGTAGTTCACCAGTGCAATTAATACACGCATTCTGTCGAGTTTTCAGTAACCATTCTTATTATTCATAAGTATTTTACTTATTAATAAATACTATTGTAGGCTTGTTGGTCACATACTACACAAAATTTAAAAAGGGGTCTGATTATACAGATTGCTGGTAAGATATATTCACGATTGTTGATTCGATTGTGACTATTCAAGTCAGTAAATAAGGGACGTAAAATAGATATTATCAACAAAACGAAAGACAAACTGCTATAACTTAATTCTTGTAACATTTTTTCTCGTATCGACTTGTGTGATGTAATAGGTTCTACATCTGTCATCATGCCATAGTTGTTGATTCCGAGTAAGATTGATTTGTTATTGTTGTCTGAACTAAGTATTAATAGTGATATTTTTGCGACTGACTTAAATTTATCAATGATACGAATTATAAAACATATTTTTTTTAGTATTTAGTTATTTATTTATTGGCTTGTTAGCGAGCTTCATTGCGCTTAAACACGATGTTATATTTCAAATATTTTTTCGTTGTTCCGCCTGATTATAAAACGAACAAAAATTTTAATAAGTCTAGGCCTATTGTATCAAATTATAGGCCAAAATTTAATTAAGCATAACGCTATTTACGCACATTTTTAAGCATAATTTCTTTATTCATAACCTAAGTAAGCATAAAATCCTAAAGCATACATTTTAAAATATGTAGCGTTGCTGCCTATCGCGGTATATAAGCTAGTTATTTGACAAAAGAAAATATAAATGATACAAAAGAAGGAATCCCATATTTATATATTTAATAAGTAATTGGCTTGTATGCGTGTGTGTAATACTGTTGGTCTTCGTGGTTCTTTTGTTCTTAGTGTGTGGTTTAGTAGATCATCTTCTAAAGCAAAAAGAAGTATCTCTATGATTGGATGGTATTCGTCGTTTAAATTATTGGAGTTTCGACTTTATTTCCGAACATATAATTTCACGAACATCGTCTTATTATAGCGCAATCGCTGTAATTAGCCTATGTTGGTGATATTCCATTACAATTATCGGAAGATATTATTTCGAATATCAAAATAATATCATACTAAATAAATAGCTAAAATTAATGCATATATTTAATGCATATCATAATGTTATTATGCTATAATTTTAAATACTACCCAATTTTATTTTCGATTTATGGTTTTGACAGTTTTATTTGCGTCGGCGCAAGACATTATTATATTATTCTGCCATGTTTTGTTTTAGTTAATTAAGTGATTTAACATCTACACACGCTAATAATATATTGAAAATTGAACCTTATTTTTTAATTTTAAAGCGCCTAGCTTTGCAAGTACAAAAAAGACTTAATTTTTTTATGTATTTTTATAGTTTATATCTTGATAAATAAATAACGATGATAAACCATATGAGCGCTTTAATTTATTGTGGCAATAACTTTTATATCTTAGCTTGCTTGTGTGCAATCTATTTATTATGCGATGTAGTGGAGGTTCTTTATGTTTTGAATAATAGGGAGGACGACTATATTTTGTTTGTTTGTCCGCCAGGTAGATAATTAAAGTATATTAAAGTATTAAATACGTATTTTTTTGCATAAACAATAAATTACGGCGATACATTGAATTGAAATGTCGCATTACATCACGCTTTAGTACATTTTCTACAAAACTGTGACGTAGCGAACCCCCACTCCTCAACTTTAATGCCTATTATCTAAGCCATTTCTTGTTTAAATTGAAGCAAAAAAAATCTATCTAATATATTTCTATTTCTATCTGATTGACTGACGGATTGAATAGAATTTCTATTTTAAGCTAGTTATTTTTTTAAATTATTTGCAAATGCTCTTAAATGGTTTTTAGTTAATCGGCAATCGATGAATAATAGTTTAATAAATATTAGTTTTGAATTTTAGAAAAACTGTAATCTGCTGTAATGTATAATTAACGGCTTATATTAAAAAGGTAAAGAAAAATGTTAGGTGTTGATCAAGTAATTTATAGGGGTGAAGTTTTGAACGAGGTGAATTTTATACTAAAAATAAAACGATAAAAATAAGTATAAACTTTTTGTACTCATAGTTTTATATTTAGTTGGTATTTTTTAATGTTATAACGGACCTCCATTACTGCTTAAAGTTTTAGTATATGAATGCATGATTTGCAATATTGAAAAACGGCTTTAATTTATATATAAAAAAAAAACTTTTATTTGGTTTTGTTGTTTTGTTTGAACTCGCTTTTGCGTATGCGTTCGTATTTGTTTGCGCTATTACTTTAAATTTTAGCTAGTTGGGTTGTTTATGTTTTTTTTAGTTAAAATACAGAAAGTACCTTATGAATCATAATGTGTATAGTCAAGGATGTTAGTTTTCTTCTTATTAACCACACTCAGTGACAAGTATATCTACAAAATGGGGGTATAACAGCTAGTAGAGGTCGCCTAACCCCTTTAGCTATAACTAGCTATGGATACGACATCTAAGCGATGCTATAGCTATATTTCGTTTCACTTTACTTCATTGATATGTACTTTAATAACGACGAATTAATGATAAAGAATAATGAATATGGATGCTGTCAAAGTTCCAAATTAGTAATTTATCCCAAGATTAAGCTAAAGTAGTAAAATGAGCCGAAATATCGTCATAATACAGTGTGTCTTTATAAAGTGCACATATCAAAACCAGAGAAAGTATACCTTGTTATAATGATGGAAAAAAACAAAAAATCTACCTCTGATTTGATTTTTTTATGATTTTTAAAAAAATTGTTATCCCCTAGTGCGACCCTTAAGTAAACAAAATGGTATAACTTTTAAACTACCTAAACTATCGTCGTGAAATAATAAATAACAGTGAATTATATTAAAATAAAAATTGAAGGCAATAACACATCAGTAAAAAATAAAGAATATTTTTTTTGTCAAATCTTACTTTTTAAGGAAATTTTACAATTCTTGTCAAGTTTCTCGATAAATCCTCACCATTACCTATCGATTTAATTATTTTTAATCATTCTACAACGTATTAGCATCCTAATAGTAAAAAACATGTTTATAACTCAATCACTGCATTTTCTACACATTCGTGAAGAAATATATCATAAAAAAATGAAAAAGGTTATTTTTTGTATTTTTTTCCGTCATATAAATTAGTTATACTTTCTTTAGTTTTGATATGTGCACTTTATGAAGACTCACACTGTATTTGCTAAGATGTATCCTATAGCTAGGGTTATGGCAAAGGGATTAGGCAGTCGCACCCCATGTTCTCTTATGCACTTGCATATTGTTTATTAGACTATATCTTTAGAGTGCACTCTTTTGCACCAGACTGTTTAGTAATTATGATTCTTTTTTTTTTATTAATAATTGTTTATTGGCCTTAAACATTTACTCTTGTATTGTTATTCGAGTTATTAAATTGTAATAATACAGTGTTTAGTAAAATTATAATGTATTTGTGATAACTATTTTATTTTATTAGAAGTGCGAATACTGAAATTGATGTTAGAAATTAGACCTACATTAGGTATGCATTAATAGTATACACCCCTTGTTGGTGTTTAATTAGAATATTGAATAATTTTCACATTAAACTTGTTTGGTCTTCGAAGTATGTGTTTATAATTATCACATTATTTAGAAGTTAAGGTGTTGAACATAAATTATTAACTTTTTTAATATTATTACATGAAACGGATATTTTGTACGGCAACAACATTTACTAGCGACTCGGGCCTACATTGGCTTCGATTTAATTGACAATGAATTCAATTGAAATATTAAATTGCATAATTTGTAGATAGTGTGTTAACACGTTAAATACAATATTGAATCAAATGCATGCATCTTTCAGTTCATCCACAGATGAGTGCTTGGTGGTTGATTACAATGTCAACTAAATTGAAGTCGAGCTTCAGTCAAATACAGTCTTTATTATCTTCTCATCATCAGCCTTGTTACGTCCCCACTGCAGGGGCTCAGACCTTTCTTATGGATGGTTAAGAAACGCGGGTCCAATGCGGATTGGAGGGTATTAACATCTGCAGATGCAGCCGGGACCAACGGCTTAACAGCCTTCCAAAGCACGGAGTAGCTCGATATAATTGTTTTTGGTCACCCATCCCGTTACCGACCCTTACGGAATTGGCTTAACAACAACAATCGCGGGCCGCGGCGCTTATCTACTGCGCCACCTAGCTACTCTACTAATTTATGACCATTTAAGTAAGTTCTATTCAAGTAATCCCATCTGTCACAAAAACCGATGAAACATAGTAATGTCCACAGAAGTTATATGAAATGTAAACTATAAGAAAAAAATAAGGAAAAGTTAAAAATAATTAAGTAAAAACGGCACTTCCATAAACTACGGTTCGCTCAAAGAGGCAAGTGGCAAATCTCGAGACTGTAATTAACCTTATTCCTTTTCGTGGCCGCAAAAAGAAACGAAAGTAATCCCTTAAAATATTAAGTTTATTCATTCGTTTCGCCCGTTTTTAATTCTTGTTAAACGAATCTCAATCTCAATAGAAGAACAGATGGATTTTGCTTAATTCGAAAGCTAAGAAATTATACTTGGGCTCATTGAAAAAAATACTCTGTATTTTATTGTAATTACTTTAGGAGTTTTTTCGTTATTTTTCCTACATTATTGGTGACACTTTATACAAATTATGTGATACGTCGATTTTAAAAGTGGGCTGTGTATCTCATTAGTGGTTTTTAATATACTTGTTAGCGATATTCTTCTTAGAGGACTTTGACTTAGTTATAGCGCTTTATTTTATATGCTTATTTTTAGATTAGGGCAGTTATGTAGTGAACTGAGATGTACTTCTTAGATTTCTTGTTGAAATTTTCTATTATATGTCTGTATTATTGTGCGTGCGTGTGTGTGTCAATTTTTAAACTATTCATGAATCCTAATCCACCAGCAATAAAATTAAAAACATTCAAAACTTGTTATAATATATAAAAAGCTTAGATCGTGTCGAGTAATACGTTTTTTGAAATATAAGCCAATGTTCAATTATATATGTTATAAAAATTTCATTAAATTTGTTTGTAGCTTTTTATGTGAGTATAATATTACTTGAAAAAAAAAATTGAGAAAATCTGTTTTCTATTAAATGAAGAGCTGGAAATAATAATGGTATAATCTATTAATGGTTTTGTTAAAGTTCTGTTAGATCGAAGTACACACGGCTGCACGTCAGACTATACATTGTGGATTTTGTATCGCGCGTCGTATCTAACTTCCATACTAACAGAGGTCTGTTTACGGTGGTGGTGTGTAGCGTAACGTGCCGTGTGTACATACTTTTTGATCTAAGAAAACAATTTGAGCTAAGATTATGGTTGTAAATCATATGGTTGTGTTGTAGTAGTGAATAAAATTTCCTGTTCTTATTGCCAATGACTATTATAATAAATCCTGTGTTTAAGAATTATTGGGTTGTATGATTTTGTTAACTTGAGGTATACTTACGCCATTGACTTAAATAGCACGGCTTACTCTACTTCTCCGAAAATAAAATTCTAGTTACAGACTACAAACGGACAATGTCTGTGTTGCAACATAAATTAAAAAAAAAATATGGCTATGCAAAATTATACGAAATGGTAAGCACTTGTTTATTCTAACTGACAATTTATTTCGCCATATTAATATATAAAACAAGAAATTTTACTTTTAACTTTGTCACGATTTAACTTAAAGGTTCCCGAATATAAAAAATGTACCTGGCTTTTTGATTGGTTTATAAAATTAAATGTTTGTTTATTACATTTGATTCATTTTGCATTCACAATGCTATACTGAAAAATATTGTCATCCATCCCATCTCAGTGTCGGGGATAAAGTGGATTTTTGAAGCATTTTTCATTAAGAATATTAAACGTTTATTTTTCAAAGTAACAATCTTTTGAATGTGTCTTACATATCAAACTTGAATTAAATGAAAATATTGCCAAAGGAAAGTCAACGTAGCACGCAGTGTTACGTAGAACTTCGTAGCTCTACGCTACGTAGGTGACGCGGCTAAGTGACGTCACGCATCGTGGCCTACCTCGTGTGTAACAACGTTGTAACGTGCACTCAAATTCGTAGTTTTTTAATGTAAATTTTATTCATATTTGTATAAAATTTGCTTCATGGTTTTATTTCATACATCTATAAAAGTATTCGTACTTTAGGTAAGAGTTGACGTAAGGTACTTCCAATGGAAATATAATTAATATTGGCGATATTGATAAACTTTTTAGTGTTGATATTTGTTTTGATAAAGTTTGCGAGTTTAATCGGGTGTTGGGGGTGGGCGCGTGTGGGCGTGCTAGCGGGGCGGGTGCGGCGGCCGCGCGGGCGGCGGGGGAGGGGGGCGAGCACGTGCCGCGCGCTCACGTGGTGGTGCTAGCGCGCTCGTCCGTCGTGCCGGCCGTATGAATAATTGTGTACGGAGTGAATGAATCGATGCGGCGGCGGAGCGGGCGGCGGGTGGCGGGCGGCGGGCGGCTGCTGCGTGGAGGGGTGCGCCGCGGCGCGCCAGTCTCGTGCCGGTAGTCGGTAGTGCAACCGAGCGATTCCGGGAGCCGTCCCCGTCGCGTCATCGCTCGCTCGTAGTCGTAGTGCGCCCGAGCCCATGGAAACCCAAAGCCAGGATGCGGCACGAAGCCCCGCGGAGGTGCCCAACGATCCGGGGTACGTCCACCATCACCGCTGGTGCATACGTCACTCACTCCCGACTCTGATCACTATGTTTGTCTTGCAGGAAGATGTTCGTCGGAGGACTCAGCTGGCAGACTAGTCCAGGTACGCTCGTCGATTGCCGGCCACACTCCGTCGACGGATGTGCATCCGATGCACTCGCCGGTGACGGTCGATCGCCTCCTTAGATTGCGGAAGGCCGTCTTTAACGGTGACGGTGTTTAGCGGCTCGTATTCAGTGATATATTGTCGTCGGCAAATGAACCGGCAAAAGTTTCATAGTCAGCTGATTAGTTACTCGTGTTTCGGAACTTTTCTGATCAGTGAAATAAAGTAGTGCACTTGACTATTACGGTGTGAGATGCGTGTCCGAGGTGTTTCAGTAGTCATAAACGTGTGAAATTCTCTGAGATGTTGTAATATTGTTGAGATGCATCGACAGTCAGGTGTGCGGTGGCAGCCATGCCGGATGCGCGCGCAGGCTCCACCGCCGCTCCGACCTCTCCGCCCTAAAGGCTTGCGAGCTATTTTCGACCTTATCGCTATTAATATTCAGTAGGTAATTCCTGCAAAGCATATATATATAGCCGGCTTTTCCATCAAACAGTTTATCACAACATAACCTCAAATTTAAGTAGAGCACCATAGGCGCAGGTCTTTTCTTACTCGTGTACATAAATATAACGACTGATTGGCAATAAGTAAAAACTGTAACAAAATTTTGTGGATTTTTAAATACAAAACGAAATAGTGTGTATTGTTTTATTCCAATCCTATACAAAATTAGACAAGATATCATAATGTGTACAATCGTAATTAGTTTCTTTTATCGTTAATGGTTTAGAAAGTCGACTATTAATATTTCTATCACTTATGTTCATGTCAGTATCGTATTTATTTAAAAGAACCGCGAGACCATCGGTTTTATTAGTACATCAAAACAAGTTAATTTCACCATCGCTCATTACAAAAGGTCCGTATGCGCGCGCAACGTCGTGTCGTCCGTGGTATTGGGTCGTGCGCCCACGCTGCACTTTGATCCTCTATATCTATGCCAACTTTATTCTCCCCTGGAGATCTAGGCCGATGCATCGGCATCACTGAAAGATATTATCGGATCTGTCGATCGCTTCAACGGATACCGGGAAATGTTGATGCTACATTGATGTTTATCCTCGATCGCCTTTGGTGTAGGAACGTACTTATTTTAAACTTTGAATAAATATTACGGAATTTATTTTGAACAGGAACGGTTTAAATGGGCACAAATTGGTTATATTCCAGAATAAATTCATTATAATTGCAACATCTAAAATCTAAATCATTTTTATGTTACCTTGATAAAAAGGTTATTTGTTTTTTATTTTCGGAGGAGAATAAATTGGTTTTAAAATAAAGAATACATCGTAGTTTTATGACAACAAAAATAATTATAACTAAAAATGCGGCTGTAAAAAAGTTTTCATTCGATAGAGTAATTTTTTATTTGAACGTTGATTCTAAAATATTTTTTCTTCAATATCACCTCTAAATGTTTGCTAGAGAAAAACAAGCTTATTACGATATGGTTCTGATAAGATAAACTTTGAAATATTAGAGCTATCTTATAACGTCGTGGTGTTGCACCATGACTGATTTAACAGACGGAAATAGTCTATCTCACTCCCATAAATAACACATCAATCACTGCAATATATCGATAAGATTGGCAAAATATTGACTAAGCTTGAGAATTGACGTGGCAATATATGACAAAAATATATTTAGGTAAGTATTGAGTAGTTATGAGAAAAAAAATAGGTTGCATCAGCCGTGCCAATGATTTTTAAATACGATTGATACCTACGAGTGATAAAATTAATATCGTTGTTGATAAAACTTAAGTAACGGATCTTATAATGTAATCCAATTGCGTCTGATATTAAATGAAGCTGTCTGTCTCTGGGGAATTATTTTATAATTTATGCTTGTTAGTTTAGGTTTCACAGTAACAAGGTTTTGGTATATTTCGGTTAAGATTGAAGAGAAATTTCAATATTTTGAAGTCCAAAAATTTTCAACCTAATAAATATAATTAGTAATAGTTAATCACAGTTTTCATATTACGACTATTAGATACTTAACAAAAATTTAGAGAGATATTGAAAGAAATTAAATTATATTTAGGTATTAAATTAACTTCATCGAAATAGTCATGTGTGAATTGAATCAGTTTTTTTCAGCAATGATGCCGTAATTTCTATGACTATTTTCAATATGTTAGCTGCGAGCTGAAAATTATCTAATATCTTAATTAGATTGAACTGATAAATTGTAATTATAAAAAAATGAATTATATTAATGAAATTGCCTTAGGCGCTGGATGAGATCTATCCAACGTCTAGGGTTTAATCCTTAGTAGAGTCAATGTATAAAGAATTCGGACTGTCCTTTTCACAAATATTTTAAAACATTTTTTATAATAGGCCTGAGCGATTGCGATACGCTATTCTTATCGAAAGTTACTTTGACGAAATCAGATCAATATATTATTCATTGTTTATGTTAATTTGAGAGCTATAAAATATTTTAAATCATCAGCATGAGACGATAAGTTAGGTTTTGACTAAATTTGGTAGATTGTACCATCTCGGACTTTTTTTTCAGTTTAGCTACTATTTTTACAGTCCCAAGCCAAAGAGTCGAACCCCATTATATGAGAATACAATACACGTCCATCACATTGCTGCGCTCTCTGAAGCCTGACTATATTAGTTTCATGTATCGTCTTTTGTATCATCAAACGTAGAATTACATATGGACAGAAATGCGTACGAGTCGATCCTAATTTTTTTAGTAATCACTGCATATAAAATTACGTTTCCGTTGAGAATTCTTTTGATGTTGAATTTCACGACACAAATAGACACGTCCATCCGTTTAAATTGATGATTGTTATTGCTAAAAATACCAGGCCCGGATATATGATTTTTCCAACTGGGGCAAAATCTATTCTTATATTTTTTACTGTATTATATAATCATTTGACCTCCACTTCTTCCCTCCCCGGCCTAGAAGTTTCCCTCAAAAAATACAATTGAGCTATCTGTACAATAAAATATTTGAATATGAAATTAAATCAAGTTTTAAATGCAATTTAAATATAAAACTTACATCCACAAGTAGCAATTCATTAGAATTAATTATTAACATCGAATTACCTTAATGTGTAATTCGATTGTCAAATCTATATTATCTCTAGAAAAGTAGTGGAGAAGTAACGTAATGGATAAGACCACATGTTAAATTTAAAAATTCCGAGTTACCGTGGATATCTATGTGGTAACAAATAATGAGTAAAGTTGAGCGTGCCGTTTGCTATACACAATTTTGTATAATAACGGAACAGGATTGGCACACTCCAACATTGCTTGACGATTGTTTGCTTGCATTGTGCGCGTGCGCACCGAGTCTAGACGATTCAGTAACACGTTTTACTTCGAGACTTTTATGAGCTAACCGTCCAACTAGACTGTTCTATAGGTGCCGGTAAATTTTATATGTTTGTTCACTTATTATCTTACCTATCGTTCACCGTTTATTTTTTAAGTAGTTGGTTGAAATAGGATTGTTCTGTAACTAATCAGCTAAGACTAATCAATAGGTAGAAATAATAAATTAGTAAAACACTAAATGGTCCCGTGTGACCTAAATTTAATATAGACAGGCAATGTTAGTCTTTAAAAAGAAAAAATCATCAGCATTTTTCATTTTATAAACCACCTTCAAAACATAAAGAAGTTCTATGTTCGACGGGTGTATATTTTTTATGGTTTCTCCCTAATTATAGATAGATTTTAAAATTTTACAGATTCTCTCAATTTTATTTGAAAGCTTATGGGACTTGAGGTGCTCCCATAAAAATTTGAACGAAATCTGATTAGCCGTTTTGATATTATAATAAAGTAACTGGAAGCGTTCTACCTAATTAGGTATTAATATTAAGATGACATTTGTGTCATCGAAAACAACAAAAGATCGACAGTGTTATTACAAAAAAGATAAACACAAGTTGAACACGTGTTTAAAAAATATTCTATTACAAAATCGTATTTAGGCATTATTTAAGGCTAAACATCCCTTAAACATTGTTTAAAATATAAACACTCGTTGAGAGTTGTTTAACGCGTGTCTAACCTCAACATAGGTTGTGCTTTGTTGAAAATTCATCCATATTCTTAAGATAAAGATTATATTGATATGGTCGATTTAGATTACATGGAAAGCTTTCAGGAAGCGTAAGTAAACCGAACGCGATTTAATCCATTTGAGCAATACAATGAACTTTGATATAAAAGAAAGTACATATTTAGTGGTGTTTGCTGACAAAATATATGAAATTATTTAAGACGATATTCCACATAATCCTCGAGATGAAAGTATAGATCTGCAAATAAATACACGTATCATGTGCATGTGTGCATAGCTTCTGTGTCTGTTCACAGCTTGTGAACATGTGCGGCGTTGGGTTCGGCATCAGGTAGTCGTTGTTCCGTTTCTTCATATTATTTCGCTATAGTTTTACTTAACCTTACTCTAATATGAATTATGAATAGAGGTGCCTGTTTAAAAACGTTAATTTTGTACTTTCTTATTTACTTTTGAAAGTTATTAGCTAATACGTTATTGAACATATCTTTTTACGATTAGAATTTATCATAAGTCTGTATACAATGTGCATATAATGGAACGTGTATGAACGAATGAAAGCCGACTAAACGAATGCTTTACGGGTTGCATGTTTAAATCAGCGTTAGTTAGACTACGACTAAAAATGGATTTGTAATAGACAAAGTTAAACATCATTTTAAACAGGGTTTATATTCTTAGACATTGTTTACTTAAACACATGGTAAAACCCTGTCTAACATCTCTTTTGTAATAACACTGCGAGTATTTTACGTTTCTAGTTGTAATTTTTGTTTTTATTAAATTTTGATATATCACCAAACTTTAAAATTTTTTGAAAATAAAATCATCACCGGTTCGCAAAAATTCTATTGAAATAGGACACCTTTTTTATTATCAACCTACATCAATTTTCCACCGCCTTCTATGGATGAATA